TTTTTGCTTATGTGGTGCTGAGGAATCGAACCCAGGGCCTCAGGCATGCAAGGCAAGCACTCTTCCACTGAGCCATCTTCCCAGCCCGTTATTAGGAGTCTATATACAATTATAAAAAGGCTGTCTAGGCTGAGAATGTAGCTCAGTGATACAGCAGCTGCTTAGTTAGCATGGAGGAGATTCTGGGTTCATTCCTTAGCCCTGAAAACAATAAAAACCAATTTGTCCGACTCAACCCAATTTTTTTTTTTTTTGGGTCCGGTTGTGGGGCCTGAACTCTGGGCCTGGGTGTTATCCCTCAGCTTTCAGCTCAAGGCTAGAGTTCTACCACTTGAGCCACAGCGCCACTTCTGGCTTTTTTCTTTTTGCTTATGTGGTGCTGAGGAATCAAACCCAGGGCCTCATGCATTGCAAGGCAAGCGCTCTACCACTGAGCCACTTTCCTAGCCCCAACCCCAAAATTAAATATAACACATTGTACGTTAAAAATGTAGGCCAAGCTGCGAAGTGGTGGCTCACATCTGTAATCCTAGATTTTCAGGAGGATGAAATCTGAGGATTGCAGCTCAAATCCAGCCTGGGTAGGAAAATCTGAGACTTTTATCTCCAATGAATCAGCAACAGGCTGAAAGTAAAGCTGTAGCTTGAATGGTAGCATGCCAGACCTTGAGCAGGAATTCTAAGGGACAGTACCTAGGCCCTCAGTTCAAGCCCCAGTACCAGTAAAAGAAAAAAAAAAAAAAAGGCCAATGTGAAATGTCAAATGTCAATAAGAAGTATAATATAGAATTATTTTGAGGTTATTTTACAGGCCATTTTTAGCTATAGCATTTTCAAACCAAAGCTTTTACCTTTTCTAAAGGAGCCTAACACACAATAAGGCTAAACAGCTGAATGGGTCTTTGTTTGGAGAACAGAGGTTAAAGGTTCAGAGCCCTCCTGATCAGCAATCCTGGGGAAAGCCCTTGGAGAAGTACATTGAAAGCATGGCCACAGGGACTAAAAAAGGACACTGGGGCTCAGGTTTTTGTTCTGCTTTGTGACTTTGTCATTTTCTATTTTTTTAAACATTATTAATTAGAAGTCCATGTTACTACCACTTGAAATCCCTCCCTCAATCATAATTCTACAAAAAAAAACCTTAATATAATTATACCAACAAGTGTGGTATAACAACAATAACAAAAAAGAACAATTAGAAGTTAATGACTTAGAATGACAGCCATACCTGTCGTACTTTTCGGAGAGGCATGAAGGCCTCTGTTTGGAATGGGGGTGTTCTTTTATATCCAAGAGCTCCTCCTAAAAAGAGAAATCAAATGGGGATTTTTTTGAATCACATTTCTCAGGCCACACACTTTCAACTTATTTCTGTTATGAGTAATTCTAAGTATTTTAACTTAAACTCTGACTTATTCCAGAAAGGGGTAGAGTTAGATCAGAATCTTTTTTATTTTTACTTTATTTTTTAATTTTTGTCGGTTGTGGGGCTTGAACTCTGGGCTTGGGCACTGTCCTTGTGCTCTTCAGCTCAAGGCGAGCGCTCTACCAATTGAGCCACAGTACCACTTCTGTTCTTCTGGCTGTTTACTGGAGATGAGTCTCATGGACTTTCCTGCCCAGGCTGGCTTTGAACTGTGATCCTCAGATCTCAGCCTCCTGAGTAGCTAGGATTACAAGCCACCAGCGCCCTGTTTTTTTTATTTTTCTTTTTTGGTGGTACTGGGGTTTGAGCTCCTGGACTTACACTTTTACTTACTAGGCAGGTACTCTAACACTTCAACTATCCCCCCAGACCTTTTTGCTTTATTTTCAGATAGGGTCTCACTTTTGCCAGGGGCTGGCCTTGGACCATCTCTCATTTATTATAGGCATTTGCACACATCTGGCTCACATCATGGATCTTAGAAGCTCAAATAGAATTATCAAATTATCAAATAGTTATAATAATCACAAACTAGTGACTAGTTTTTGCTAAAACACACATTCTCATACATTGCCATCCAGTAATAAGATCCCCAATACTGAGTGCTCAAAGACTGGAGCCCAAAGAAATCTATAGAATAAACACAAGTCTCACAAATTCAGAGGTGATACAAATTTGGGGAGGGGCAAGCAAATGGACTAATAACAGTGGTTTCAAGAGCAAATATCAAGGTAAAGAGGGCTTAAGTTTTTTCCCCTTTACAGTGGTATAGTGTCTGCCTAGTATGCATGAGGCTCTGGGCTCAGTTGCTAGTAGCACAAAAAGAAAAAAGAAAAACTCATTAAAAACAAGAAGAAACCAGGCACTGGTGGCTCACATCTATATTCCTGCTGCTCAGGAGACTGAGATCTGAGAATCTCAGTGCAAAGCTAGCCTGGGAAGGAAGTCTATGAGACTCTTATTTCTAATTAACCACCAAAAAGCCAAAAGCAGAGCTGTGGCTTAAGTGGTACAGCACAAGCATTGAGCAAAAAAAAGCTCAGGGACAGTGCCCAGGCCTAAGTTCAAACCCCAGGAGCAGCCAAAAAAAAAAAAAAAAGAAAAGAAGACGGAAGGAAGGAAGGAAAGAGAGAGAGACAGAGAAACAGACCAAACATAGGAAGGATGTTCCAATATAGGAAATACTTCTGTATAACACTGTGGAGGGGTAGAGGTGGGAAAGAAAACACTGCAAGTCAATTTTCTGCTACCAGAACTCGAAAGATTATAAAATCCCTTACAAATTCAAACAGTAAATCTATTTACTATTAAACAAAGGGCAGTACACATCATAACACATCTAAATGTTTATATTCTCAGTACGCAGAAGTCTCCAGCAGTTAACAGTGGCACACATTTATAATGCCAGCAGCCGAGAGACTAAAGTAGTAGGGCTGAGAAGTCAAGGACAGCCTATGTTACATAGTAGACTTATCTCAAAAAGGAAACCAGAGGCAGGTACAGGGGCTCAAGCCTAAAAGTCCCAGCTACTTGATAGGCAGATCTCAGGTGACCTTGGTTTGAAGCTAGCTGGGGGGGAAAAAAAATACATTTTTGAGAGAAATGTCTGGGTGCAGTGGTGTGTGCATAGCTAAAAGAGAAGTACAATGGCTGTGCGTGGTAGTGTGTGTCTATCCCCAGCAACACACAGGATAAGTAAGATCATGGCCCAGAATGGCCTGGGCATAAAACAAGATAATACCTTGAAAATAACCAACACAAAATGCAACAGTGGTACTCACTAGACACTATGTTGAAAATGAACTATACAACTTGTAGGTGGGGACAGGAGGAAAAAAACTGGAAGAGTGAGGGAAGGGGGACATTGTCCAAAAAGAAATATACTGTTTACCTGACTTGCATAACTGTAACCTCTGTGTACATTACTTTTATATAAAAAAAAGTAAAAATTAGGGCTGGGAAGGTGGCTCAGTGGTAGAGTGCTTGCCTTGCATGCATGAGGCCCTGAGTTTGATTCCTCAGCACCACATAAGCAGAAAAAAGCCAGAAGTGGTGGTGTGGCTCAAGTGGTAGAGCGCTAGCCTTGAGCTGAAGAGCTGAGGGACAGTGCCCAGGCCTGGAGTTCAGGATCCAGGACCGGGGGGGGGGGGGAAAGAGCAGGTCTGGAAATGGCTCAACTGATAGAGCTCCAGTCAAGCAAGCAAACTCAGTACGCATACGGCCCTCAGTTCAAACTCCTAGTACTGCAAAAAAAAAAAAAAGAAAATACAAAATTATTAATGAAGCTGGGTGCTGGTGGCTCACACCTGTAATCCTAGCTACTCAGGAGGGTGAGAGCTGAGGATCGCAGTTCAAAGCCAGGCCGGCAGGAAAGTCTGTGAGACTCTTATCTCCAATAAACCACCAGAAAACTGGAAGTGGCACTATGTCTCAAGTGGTATAGTGCTAGCCTTGAACTGAATAGCTGAGGGACAGTGCCCATGCTCAGAGTTCAAGCCCCACAACCTACCAAAAAACAAAAACAAGGGCTGGGAAGGTGGCTCAGTGGTAGAGTACTTGCCTTGCATGCATGAGGCCCTGGGTTCGATTCCTCAGCACCACATACGCAAAAAAAGCTGGAAGTAGCGCTGTGGCTCAAGTGATAGAGTGGTAGCTTTGAGCAGAAGGGCTGGGGGACAGTGCCCAGGCTCAGAGTTCAGGCCCCCATGACTGACAAAAAAAAGAGGAATTTATACCACATCAATGCCCAGAGGACTATAATGTGACTCCTACACCTATTAACGTGATAAGGAAGCTGTTTTCCTAAACACTATAATGCACCAAAGAAAGCACATGACCAAATGACTGCTTTCTACCTTCATGGAATTCCAAAACACCTTTGATTTCTGAACAGATTTTAAATGGTATCCCTAAACTAAGAAGGGTCAATGGGAAGGGGCTCTCTCATCAAGCCAATCTATTTTCCTAACCTTGTAAACATCCCACACTTACCAGAAGTTTCCACAGAACACACCATCTTTAAAAATTCTTGGTGAAGCTGGGCACTGGTGGCTCATGCCTGTAATCCTAGCTACTCAGGAGGCTGAGATTTGAGGATCACAGTTCAAAGCCAGCCCAGGCAGGAAAGTCCGTGAGACTTATCTCCAATAAACCACTAGAAAACCAGAAGTGGTGCTGTGGCTCAAGCAGTAGAGCACTAGCCTTGAGATGAAGAGCTGAGGGATAGTGCCCAAGCCCAGAGTTCTAGCCTCACAATGGCCAAAAAAAAAAAAATCCTTGGTGAGAATAGCTACTGCTTCTAGACCCTTCTACCCTGTGAATGTGAAGTGGGAGAATTTGAAGTACTCTATTTGTTGCAATAATTTGATCTCAGAATATAGGTGAAAGAGTAAGAAGTCTCAAATATTATTCCAGTTGGAGAAGAAAACATTCATTATGGTGCTCAAAACACAAGATTATGCTCTCTTCAAAAGGAAACAGGCTGGACTGGGAAGGTGGCTCAGTGGTAGAGTGCCTGCCTTGCAGGCATGAAGCCCTGGGTTTGATTCCTCAGCACCACATAACCAGAAAAAGCAAGAAGTGGCACTGTGGCTCAAGTGGTAGAGCGCTAACTTGAACAAAAAGAAGCTCAGGGACAGTAACCAGGCCCAGAGTTCAAACCCCAGGACTGGCAAAAAAATAAAAAAAGGAAACAGGCTTAGTCCCACATAAAATCACTAGCATGCTTAGAAACATGAAAGCACTAGCCTAACACTACTTGAACATTATTCTAGCTAAATACTCTCAAATGGAATAGAAACCTAGTTCCAACCAAATAGGCCAAGATTGTTAAGTCTAAGTTCCACTGTCATTACTAGCAAACAGAAAAACAACTAAGAAATAGAAAAACAATAAAAAAAGCTTTTTTGGAGAGGGAGCAGTATAGGGGTTTAAACTCTTGATTAGGCAGGAACTCCACTACTCGATCCATTCTACCAGACTTTTCAGTTTAGTTGGTGGTTTTAGATAAGACCTAGACTTTTTATCCAGGGTTAGTCTTGGATTGTAAACATCCTGATTTCCACCTCCTGAATAGCTGGTATTGTAGACATACATCCATGATTGGCCTATTAACAAGCTGGGTTTTTTTTTCTTGTTTCTTTCTAAGTCCTGGGGCTTGAACTCAGGGCCTACATGCTGTTCCTGAACTTTTTTTTTTTTTTTTGGGGGGTGGGCCAGTTCTGGAGCTTGAACTCAAGAGACTGAGCACTGTCCTTGAGCTTTTTATGCTCAAGGCTAGCTAGCACTCGACCACTTGAGCCACAGTGCCACTTCTGGCTTTTTCTGTTTATGTGGTACTGAGGACTCGAACCCAAGGCTTCATGCATGCAAGGCAAGCACTCTACCACTGAGCCACATTCCCAGCCCACTTTTTTTTTTTTTCCCCTCAAGACTAGCACCCTACCACTTGAGCCACAGCTTCATTTCCAACTCTTCGGTTAGCTTGTTGAAAATAAAAGTCTCACAGACTTTCTTGCCCAGTCTGGTTTCAAAAGGTGATCCTCAGATCTCAACCTCTTGAGTAGCTAGAATTACAGGTGTGAGCCACCAGCACCCAGCTGCCTAAGTTTTTGAAGGCACATATATGACAAAATTCTGAGGTTGGACTGTCCAAAATGGGCTACAACCAGCCATAATAGTATATGTTTGTCATCTCAGCTTTCAGGAAGCTGAGGCCAGTCTGGGCAATATAGCAATACTTTGCCTAAAACGGACAATATTAAGCTTTTTTTTTTTTTTTGGTACAATGTCTCCAATGCTGCTTAGGCTGACCCTGAACTCAGGATCCTCCCATATCTGGGCTAATATTAAGCTTTTTAAAATTAACTGGGCTGGG